ACATTCAGCTCTATCTGTCCTTGATTGAATTGCAAAATGTGCTTCACACTGCAGCCGTGCATGAGAATAACTTATATTATCTGTCAATAGGCTTTTCATTTCTATATTCTTCTGGTTACAAAAGCCGTAACCAAGAGAAGCGCAGGGGAATAGCTTGGGTCTATTAATGATCAAGGCTGCGATGTTGAAAAGGCAGTTAATGAAATTATAGAATCATTAACCTGAAGGGAAAAAAATAAAAAGAATCGATAAAAACCCTATTTTAGATGGCTTAGATGTATATAAAAGAAACAGCTCAGGAGCATTTTTGTTTGCTGACCAGTATTTTGTGTCTCATTATCAGGTTTTCTATGCAGGGTAAGTAAGAAACGCTTGTGGCATAAGGAATGGAAAATATAACAAAGGCTAAATGTAGCCTAAGGAAATGAAATGATGTATGAAAATTAATAATTAACTGGCTCATCAGATGAATTATGACTCTAGATGAGTTTATTAATGATATTTACTAAGAAAGGGCTTTTGGCTGTAAATAGGCATTATGGAACTCGTGTTTTTGGAATTTTCTTGAATGGCTCAGTTAACATTGCTTTTCACTTGTTGGATCTTTTAATCTGAGACACAGTGCCTGGAGCCTTAGGTAGAAGGTGGTAGAGTCATGATTTTGTATTTTGATCAAAGTCATAGCTTTTCCAGAAAACCAGTGAAACTATTAAATGGTTTTGTGCCTTAGTTTCCTTAGGAGTTAAGTAATTTCCTTTCTGACCTGACTTACAGGAGTGTGTTTTGGAGTTCGAAAGTGGTCAACAGGAAGATTTATTAACTCACGTTGACTCATTTGACAGAATGAACATTTTCATTGTTTGAATGGACAGAGCATTAAAACTCTAACTGTATCAATATGTGAGATCCAGAGTACCCTAAATTTGTACTTCAGGATGTTCCTTGCTTTTTCTTTTTCTTCTCTTTTTTCTGTTGACATCTTGGGGTAGGCAGTGGCTGAAGGGTGGAGGAGAAAATAATTCTGAGAACTTGAACAATTTTTTTTTTTTAAAGATTGTTATTTATTTATTTGACAGAGAGAGATACAGTGAGAGAGGGAACACAAGCAGGGGGAGTGGGAGAGGGAGAAGCAGGCTTCTGGTTGAGCAGGGAGCCTTATGCAGGGCTTGATCCCAGGACGCTGGGATCATGACCTGAGCCGAAGGCAGATGCTTAATGACTGAGCCACCCAGTTGCCCCCATTTTTTTTTTTAAGAGAGAGAGAACACGTGCGCGCGAGCAAGCGGCGGGGTGGGGGTGGGGCAAAGGGAGAGGGAGAAAAGCAGACTCCCCATGGAGCAAGAAGCCAGATGTAGGGCTTGATCTCAGGACTCTGAGATCAGGACCTGAGCCGAAATCAAGGGTTGGGTGCTCAACCCACTGCGCTACCAAGGTGCCCCTTGAATAGGTTTTTAAATAGAAGGATGCTCTGCTAGTGGAATCCTACCAGTTAGGTTTTGATATTGATTAGCTGTGATTTCGCTTTTTGGCAAAATGTAGGCAAATTTAATCCTGAGGTCCATTTTTCAAGGTAAGTGTTGTCTTTCAACACGCTGCTGACGTGAGAACCTCCTATCAGCTCTTGCTTTGACGGAGTGGATGAAGATTACTCTTTTTGCTTCCATGTCTACCCTGTCCTCTTGATTTGAGTGCCATAGGTATAAAATCTATGTATTTATCCTTGATCATCTTAAGTGGGTATTTTTGATAATCTTCCATGTCTTAATTATCTGGAGGATCAGAATTTCAAGAGACTGTAGTGATTATCATCAGCTTCCTTGTTTTATGGATGAAATCTGTAAGTCCAGAGAAGTTATAAATGATTTGCCAGAGGTAGAACTCAGGTGTCCTGACACTGTGGCTCATTAAGGATGTGTCTTTCTTAAAAGTTAGCAGTTTATTCCTTTTTTGTTACTACGTGGACTTAGGCTTATAAATGATCATATGGCCTTTCTAAAATATAATAGCGATAGATGAAATTGATTTTTAAATTCTAGTCTCTAATGCTTGAAAAATCTGTTGGCATAATTAATGTGAAAACTGGGTTATTAAGCATATTTTCACCTAGAGTTTATTTTATTTTTGTCTTGAGGCTGGTTTTCTTAGCTTATACGCCATTGCCTTACTGCTGTTTCTTTATGGCATTAATTACTTTACTTTCTGGTTGTTGTCTTTTTAGTAATAAAATTTAAGTGCATTTTTGTTATTGTTATTGTTACTTTCAACCTAAAGCTATTTAAAACAGGACTGCAGTTTATAAATAAAATAAAATGAAAGTCCAGTTTGACAGGCTGGTATGAGTGTCTGATACTTAATTAACTTCTCAGCACGTTAATTATTTTTCTTGCAGTCTCACTTTCTTAATGATCTAACCTAATGCTAAGTACCTACTTACGTGTTTTTATCCAGATTTTTGATGAGAATTCCTGCTTGTATATGATCTTGCTGGCAAAAAGACTCCTTTGTTTTTAAAAACTTGCAAGTGGGCATAGTCTGCAAATCTACAGACACTTGTCACATGGACTCATGATGACTCATAGTGCCAGTCATGTTGGATGATTCTTCATTTTCAACAAATTGCCAGCACAACATATATACTTATTTATTTTGTTTGGTGCTGAATAAGTGCTCTCTTCTGCAGGGTTCAGAGTACTCAGAAAACACTGTTTTATGAATGAGCGGAGAATAGATGGCCAACATCCTCTGGCAAAGCACAGAGACATGAAATGATTCTTTTTTTTAAAATTTTTTAAATTTTTTTTAAAGTTTTATTTTTTATGTCTAGTTCTTTAA